ATCAAACCTGAACTGCCTGGACAAATCGCTTCCGGAATCAGACAATAATGCAGTACGACAGCCGTGCAAGACGTGTGAAGAGGGCAGCCATCAAGTAAGGGCATTCCGTCTAGGTAGCGTTCGCCGAGCGAATAAATGATATTGGGTATTAACGGCGCGTACCAGGCTTAACAGAGCTTATGCGGTCGACCTACCACAAAGGTGTTGCGCAACTTGGTTAAAAGTAATAAAGCTCACTTTTTGGCCTAGGGTGCTTCGCAAATTAAGTCATTTTGGAGGTTACTACCTGCGTACCAATATTACGGCACGTGTATTTGGCAACAGACACAAAAACACGCCTCCTCAATGAGCAGGCTACTCTTGAGACCGATGACTGTAGCGACAATCAACTTGAAATCCTAAATACTTACTTAAAAATCGTACTTTCGCCTTCTAAGACGGTTTTACAAGTTGGTACGAACGAAGTCCTACGCAGGCGACTATAGCTTTGATTCAATAAAATAAATATTGACCTTTTTTTTTCCAGCTATTTGTGTGTCGTCCACATTTGTTCTCCCAGCTTTTTGTGAGATATTAACCCTAAATCATATGCTGTAATACTTACGTATAGCGCACGCAAAATTACATGCTCCTTTTACTCAAAGATCTCTTTTTGAACTTAGTGATCGATGCTACTAACGTAATTTGTCTGATTGTGATGAGTGATGCTTAATATCAGTCAAGATGTATACACTACCTCCGTTACTGATCCTACAACTCGCAACCATAGGTAGGTTAATTCGTTATCCAATGATCTATTTGGCCCGTATCATATTATAGAGCTCAAAGAGATCAAACTGAGACTAGACGTCCTGCTGGGATGCCCCACTTATTTCCCACCCAAATTCGTCCGTACCATACGTATCAACGGATAGAGCAATTAGCACGTAATCTAACGGTCACCAAATATCCAACAGTAAATTTCAACATAAACGGAAATCCACATGATGATGACCTCGTTTGACGAGATAGAAGCGGCCTGCACAACAAACCTTCCATGTCTTCGCCTTAGAGGCCACTGTCTACACAGTTATCAACATCCATTGTATGGAATTGGCACCATGTTTCATTGTGACATCTGACTAATGTCCACCGTTTTGATAGGATCACGTCTCAATTGGGCTATGCGATGATGTTTCTTTTTCTCTAGAACTCGTAGGTTAAATGGCGTTTCTTAATATGAGTCTTCGAAGTTCATGCGAAACCCTAAAATCAAGAACAATCAGAACGGAACGCGCATGTGCGAAATCTGTCCCTGCGATCCTTGTGTCCTAAACTGACGATGGCTACTAGGGAACGACACAATGGCCGAATAGAAAATGAACGTAAAGCAATTTAGATAGGTAAGTGGTCGTTGCAGTAGTACGATGATCACACTAACTCCACCAAAGGTCAAACCAGTAACTTATCGGCTTTGTAAATCTAAGCTTAACTTTGTCGATCGATTCACGGCGCGTTTTGTCGATTCACGCATTAAACATGGCCACGAGCTACTGTTCGTAAGTATACCGTTTGAATCGCTGTTGGCCTACGTCCATGAATTACTGTCAGAACTAATAACGAAACGGATACCGGTCGTTTGATCTACTATAATACTGATCAGCGTGAATCACACGCACACAAGACATGAAAACGGATGCGACAAAAGGAAAACGTGCAAATAAAGGGTCCGTCGAACAACAACTATCGGATCAGAAGCGGCCACTGAAGAGAGCGCTTTGAGTCTAATATATGCGCTTTAAACTAAGGTGCCAATCTAGCTATAGCTAATAGCACGTACAAGTTGTATATTTTCATTGGTTTTTTTGCATATTAATTACGTAGCATGCCATCTGCCGGACGGCTTCTGTGCACTAGCATAGTACCGAGTAGAAACACATTTGTTTCAATGAAGTGTGTTGATGGCTCGATAGAAAAAATGTCTATCGGTCGTTAATAAGTTACATAACTGTAATCAAAAACCGTATTTGAAAATCAAGCTCTTCGCACAGCAAATGGCTATGCGGATAACATTAGCTTATTGGAAGCTAAACGACTGCAGGCTGCAGTTAATAGGCAACTTCCAAGAAACGTTCGCAAAGGGAAATGCACTTGTTGCTATACGACTGTTTCAAACTACTATGAGTGTATTAAAAAAAAATCGCCCCTGCTTCTATTTTTTCATGTTTTTATAGTACGGTTTTTTTTCAACTACGTTGTTATATGAGCAATTTAACGATCTGTTGGTTCATATGTAAAAACAACAACCTTAATGTATACAAACACATTAGTTGTTCTAATAGAGTTAGTTCCGCATAGGTGATGAGAGAGATAGTGTTTCTTATTTTTTTTATGGCTAGTTTCCATTTGCTGGAGAAAAGGTTTCCGCGTAATTTCTTGAGCTACTTGCAAGCTATGTTGAGGCGAGACAACTGTCAAATACTCGTGCTTAGGTGCAGTCTAATTCGAAGAGAAAAAGAGTTGACTCACTGATGGCAGGTGAACTTCGAGAAGACAGCATATATCCAAGCAGTTTAGCCCTTGATTTGATGACATTACATTGAAAAGTTAAGAGGGTAGCTTATATGACATACAATAAAGGTGACAGCAATAAGCTCCGTTGGCCTACCAACAGACTCAAACATCATCACTAGGAATGAAACATAACTGTTAAGACAAAGCAACTAACGTGGCTAGAAGCAGTTTCTATTGTTTTTTTTTAATTATTACAAAAAAGGTAGAATCCGGGAGTTCTAGTTTGGGGTCAGCGAAACTTGCCCAGCTGCATAAAACTTCAATGGTGCTGACGTTTCCGTACAGACTGAATATAAATACTTCCCCGGCCCACGTAAACGTCATTTAATAGACTGTCATTATCTATAGTAATGAATATTATTTCTGTGATATCGTACAGGAACCTGTTTTACTACATAGTAAACGTACGGTCAACTGGATAAATGATGAGGTTTGCTGGCAATTTTTGGATCTAGTGAAATTAAAAATTCTTAGGTCCCTAATACCTTACTAAGACGCTTAAGTGCTAGTGCCGCTTTTCCTTCTATTCAGTCTTCGTAAGGCCACAAATCCAAATAAAGCGCTCAGTTTGGTCGAGCGTAATCTTGCGGGGTGTATCGCACAACTAATCTGGCCGTCGACAAATCGCCCGGCTTAGACTTATTTATAATGAGGACAGTTTCGTAACGAAATAACTAATTTTTAAGCATAATTCTGTTGTCAAAATCGTAGATATCGTTTGCAGCTCAAGCGTTATCAGCAGCTTCTATGCCGAAACGACAACGTTTCCTTATTGCGTATGGTACTCTGAATCTGTAATATTTGAGCCTGCTCAGCTTCGTAAACACTACTCAAAAGCTGATCCGTTCGTGTTATCAGTTTCTAATATCAGTTAATCTTTTAATTCCTTTGTGAGTCCTGTTCCTACTACGAACGTATAACGGGATAACAGACTAAGAATTACAGTGTTTAGCAGCCTGATAGATTTAATAATTTTACAAACACAAACTCTGTGTTTCGTAACAGCGTCGTTTATATATATTTTGAATCCACAATCTGCGTGAATGAAAAAAGTAATGGATATCATAAGACACATTGTACTGCGTATCGTAAAGGTAAAAAAAAAATAGGGACGAAATCAAATTAGTACACAGAGGTCTGAACTATTGATTTGTAATAGGTTAATTAAAAAGGACCTTTGCTTTGAACTAGCGAATTAGTAATATATTATTGTGTATTTTCTTCGAACTGCAAGACCTGCCAGTAATTGAGCAATAATACCTGCTTAGTAACTTTAAAGTTCCCACTGAAATTGGTGAAGCTAGCTCGACAAATGCTGCCGAAATTTTCTGAATTTATCTAGTTTAGCAAAAAGCTCGCATTTTCTAGACTCAATAAAATGATAACAACACAGACAATGTCTTTGTTGCCTTTGGTAATTCGGGGAAGCACGCCCAACGTGGTTTTATGGTACAGTTTAACTGAAAGCAATGAGCGCCAAATAATCAATGTATATTGGCATCAGGCATGACAGGATCAGCACTGTTACTAACGAAGTATATTTATTGTTTTGTATATAAAACTAGATGTTAGATACTGTAAAATATTTTATGTATAATTATTATTGGATGTGATGGTACTAGGCGAATGATTTCTTTCCATGATGAATGCAAGCCTTTTACTGGCACAAATCTACTTCAGTTAAATAAACAATTAATTTAAATATTTTACGCTAGTTTTTTTTGAGATAATTTCATTGTTGCTCGCTTTACTGCTCAGGATGCAACAACGTATCTATTTAATTTGAAGCTTTTCTAAGCTGCATGTTCTATCCAATAGTGGGCTCTCATATACACGATATTGCCATCGGCCCACCATTAAACGTTTACTCCGTAAACAGCGCGCGAGTTTAAATCGATCAATTGTAAGTGTCCTGGCGTTCTCGTTCGTTGATGTTGTAGGCCAGCTATACCCGTAACTTGGCTTGGTCAACTTTCGGCCGATTCTTTTGTTGAGCTTTATCCTACTAGATGTCGAGTAAATGCTAAATTTGTTGATTTTTTAATTTCACGGGGCCTCTCCGCAGTATAGCGCAGTTTAAGGACCTCTCAAATTGCCGTGTACGTAACACTTCGTGTCAACTCGATGAGTTTTAGGATCCATGAATCCGTACTTATTGACGAATTCTGTATTCATGTTAGCTCACGAATTTTTTCTTGCTTTTTGGCACCTGTGCAGTTAGCATATTCGACAGTGTTTTACGTCTCCGAAAAGAAACTCGAAAACTGTTTACGTTATATTAAGTTACCTATTCGTGTACGGCTCAGAGACAATTGTATTAATCCTCTGCCGGTCAAAGTTAGTTACCTTAGTTACAGTTGTTCCTTTTGCCAGTTTGCCCTTGCAGAATAAGTATAGCGAATGTGGCAAATTAAGTGTAGAAGGGAATCGAATACTGGCCAAGCGAAGCACCAGATAGCTCAAGACAAACACAATTCTACTTGTTAGGGTTTATTATACGATCGAAAAACAACGGTCTACTACCACTAACTTGTTTAGGTTAGGTTTAGCTTCCGCAAAACTTACATATGATATATCAACGTATATGTTACATAAATAGATCGCTCTTAAGAGACGGTAGTATAACGTATAAATCTATCAGAATCATGAGTAATGTGTTTCAAATAGTATAGAAAAAATGAAATAAGCTACTTTAACCTTTGTGATTGGCTCAGCGTAATTCATACGTAGAATAAAACAATTTTTAGCACTAACTGGTCCATATTTTTTCATGGTAATTTCAATAAGAAATTGTTAAATCTAAAGCAAGTTATCATAATAATAATAATACAATGCAACCAATCATGATTTCCTCATTTTAAGCACTTTGTTATCTACCACTGTACAAAGCTGTTTAGTTCGTCTATCTCGAAACAGGAAACTAACCATTATAAAGTTAACTAGAAAGTTTAGATTTCGAATGTTGACTTTATTTAGATTCGAACGAAGTTTCATAAGAGAAAGTATCGTATAAGCGCAGATAAGAAAAACACAGTGTGAGAATGCCATAAATTCTCAAGTGTCCATAGGTTTTCTATCGAGACCCGTGTTCAATAAAATGGGAGTGGAATGATCTTCAAATGATGTTGATAGGACGACAACTAGAAGTACATAAAGTATTCAATTAAAGTGAATTATTACAAATTGGTGTGTAAGTAATCACTTCCTCTAAGGAGCGTCGTATTTACTTCAAAAGTCAATAAACTACATTAACGTAAGGTGCTTGCTAAAAAAAATTAAAAAAGCTAAGGTTCATACTGACAGAGACTTAGTAAAATTTTTACGATTAAATAAGACCCCTGTATCATTAGAAAAGAATAACTTAAATTTCAAAGTCGTCGGTGCTCCATCATAGAAAGTTTGATGATCTCTCTTCCTACTCTCCAAAGGGTCATGGCTAACGATCAACTACCGTCTTGATACCAAACATTTTGCGGGAAGGAGTTACGGTTTCCGCAGTCGACTTAGGCTTTTATGGTACCTGTCTCTATAGCAATTGGTATTAGTTGATATACCTCCGATACAAGAAGCTAATTTATTCTCGGAAAAACGGTACTGTCAACCACAGATTCATCATACTTACTGTAACCGACACTGGCATACTCACTGGCAGGCAGTATCACCCTAGCAGGCCAAAGATGCCTATGTCCTACATAGACATTGCACGCTCATACGTAAGCTATTTCCCGCAGCTCAATATGCGAGGATCCCTATTGTCAAGCGATTGCTCTAGATTTCATTGCGCAGGCGCCGGTTAGCCAATAATGAACTTTTACTGCTCGAATTTCGACTTCTGTTCATAATGTGATTTCGACAGTTTGTCAGACATGACCACGGTAAGTAACACGGCGACCTACATGAATATTTCAAAGTATCCCTTACGTGAAATTCTCACTCCACGAACAGAGGAGATAGCAAGTTCATGTGCTCGTATAAATTTCCATTTCTTCGGTCCCTTTACATCCCAGTTGGCAATGAAGGGAGTTATGTATATACTCCGCATCGAAGTATGCTCAAAAGTTTTTTTTCCAGGCTTTACTTTTTTTCAATCACTCAAAGCTGGAATTTAGAATTGATCTACGTAAGCCTAACCTAAGAGACGCACTGTAAATCTGCTGTGACCCCCCCCCCCCGAGGTTAAAAGCTAGAGCGAATCGAAAGGTAAGAGACACTGAAGTTGAATTTAACTCCGAATGCAGAGCACCTCAAACACAAAAAGCTCGAGCATCCGATCGCGGGCTCGTTACGAATTACCATGCCCATATTGTGTTAAATAAAATACCCATAACTTTATAACCTATGTATCATTTAAAAAAGGCCTTGCAGGCAAACGAACAAATAATGTGTACAACTATTTTTGGTGTGTACCCAATCATTTAACGGAGTTTCTATAATATTTGTGGCTAATGAGTTCTTAATAACGAAGGATATTGAGAAATCGCTCTGTGCAGATCATTTTGTTTAATAAGACTTCATATGTGAGATGATAACCAATGATTCTGCAGAGAATTCGAGCTGGTATCTAATCCGTTATCCGTCTAATCCGTTAGACAAGCATTTAATGGATTCAATACCTATCTGTACGCAAAGATGCTCGTCAATGAAAAACAAAAAAAAAAAAACAATTAGGAATGAATAGGTTTGACATGAAGTAGAATGTATCACATGGTCTAATTGACTCCACACAGGCAGGCATATGAATTCCACATAAAGCTAATATAGATTTGTCTATGCATTTGCACAGGCAAAAACCATAATAGAGCTTTTCCAGTGACAGGGCTTCCATTGGTTTCCAAAATTCCGATCCCAAATCGGACCGTAAGCAATTTTTGATTTTTAATTAATTATTAATGAAATATATTAATATAATTAAAAAAATAACATTGCGTGTACATCATGTGAAGGCCGTGAAGAATTAAGAACTTGTTTAAGTGCACGTACATCCTCCAAGTTTATGCTAGAGATGCGAATTTGATAGACGTATCGCGAATATCTTTGCATGCCCGACAGTATTAGCCAACACGATATTGTATTTGTCTGTCGCGCGGTTGAATGTATGCCTCTGAGGGCACTTGGCTCTTCGCTAAGAATAATTAACACATCCCTAAAAAGCACTTCCGACTTTATCTAATTACCTTCAGTCTGCTCCGACCTAGTTACTCGAGGACAGCGGAGGTCTGGATCATGAACGATGACTAATGTGGCTGCTGTTTAATTTCATGCATGTATGTAGCATTTGCTACAGCCGCCCCTATAAACACCTAGTTTTACGGGCGGGGTCCTCTTCCGCCTTTATACGCACCCGAGTTTCACATTTTTTCTGGGACTATTATCGAATAGAATCATTCAGAGGAACATAAATGATGTTCACGGTGTACGGCCTCTTGCTGAATAGCTCTGTTTATTGCTTTCTTGTCAACAACAACAACTTTTGGATCATTACCTCTATCTCCGACTCTGTTGCCGTTAGCGCGCCTGCTCACGATAATAGCATGGGAGAACATGGCAATATATATACAAGATAAATAACTCACCATTTGGATTATGCAATGGGTTGTGTTTCATCCACTGTTTACTTGATTGTCTATAAAAAAATCAGCAATATATGTGTGTTGCCCTCCCGCCAGTGTTGGAGAGGGCAAACGAGTGATATTCAAAGCGCATTAGTAATAATAAGTTGGACCAGTATTTCCGAGTTCTTTTTAATTTGTTGCGGTATCGTATTCAAAAACCAGAGATACGGAACACTTGTTTCAGCTGAACGAAGATCAATTAAACGCAAAAAACAATACCTAGCAAAATTGTAGACAACAATGTACGTGCACTGTCGTAACGTTTTTGGCTAATAATTATACTGTCGTTCTAAAGCGATCGTTGCAGATCCGTAACCAGCGTTGAATTACTTTGTACACGACTTGCCTATACGTAATCGTTGTTTTCTACGGCGTCAGCTTACGATCCATCACCTGGTATTGCGATTCGACTCGTCTTTTCTTCCAAGTGCTTTCACGTTCTACGCCACTATATACGTTATTGTATTTTTGCCAATGGCAACTCTGGATGCCCGTACATGCATAGAGAGCCTTTCCTTTCTTCGGCAGAGTTACTCAAATGATTTGGCGTTGGTTGTTATATTGCCACGACCTCTCGCTCAAGCTGGCCGATGCCGCAACGATCCTCTCTCTGTAGATTAAAATCGACATCTTCAAAAACTGCACATCCAATAGGTACCGTCCGACAAGAAAAGACCGCTGATAAAAAAATATCTACTCCGCTTCTAGCTCTATTACAGCTTGTAAATTTGATAACTAACACAGCCCCTCAACATGTTTAGTCGCGAATGTTCCAGAGGCTAGAATCGAGTAGACACAAGTTCTTTGTATCGGCAGCCTTTGAAAATTTCGTGTGCCTCTCGCGGTCTCAGTCTTCGCATCGTTATCAAGTTTCTACGCGCTGGTCGTTCGCTGACCAAACTACTCTACCGCCTAATAGAATTATCCACTGAATTTGTACTTGGCAAAAATCCGCTACTGGGGGCTTAATGTATCCCACGTCGAGAGCTACTTAAGCTGCGGCGGCGGCGGCTGCTGCAGCAGACGCCTTACGTTTCTTTTCGCCGCGTCTTCGTCGACGTCTCGGACGAGCAGTGGTGTACTTATTCGTGTTGAGATGGAAGAATCTGTTGGAGTCCGTGCATTGAACATTGTACCACCAGTCGCAGATGAATAGCTCCTGTTTAAACACTGTTCCATTCGGGCAAAGGAAGCTCATCTTGTGACCGAGTGGATCGCAGTTGTGGAATGCCTGAGGTCGAAAAAGCCAAAAATAAGATAAGAGTTATTGGAAATATAGCAGTAAGCCTTGTGTCGACACACGCACCATACGATGCTTAATCTACGCGTCCAGCGTGCGCGAACTTCTCCAATTCGAAAAACCAAGACTTTCTTGTCGTACAGTGAAGCTAATTTCAATGCAAGGGGAAAAACATGTTAAGAATCCATACATTTAATCGGCTCTCCTGATATACTGCATTTACAGTTTAACTTACGCCGTTTAATCGTGACGGGTAGCTGTTATTCACTCGACTATACAAAGAACACTATGGTGCTATGCACTTTAGAACAATATAATAACACAGGATAGCGTTCTTAAATAGTCTCACAGGAATCGAATTGGGTTATTTAGCTATTATCAGACCGACAGTAAGTTAGAAATAGACATTGTCTATAGTGAATTTCGAGTCCACCGAAGCGATTTTTCGTTTCGTTATAGAGAATAGTCAGTGTATATCTTTATTGGTTCATCCAAGTTACCGAATACATGCGGACGGACTTTTATCTTTTCTATATGATAGAGCCCAGGCTCTGATGCTGGAAACAATGGCAATCGTATAATTAGGGTCATATAGCACTAGCTACTAGCGATAAAAACTGTGTGGCTAGCGGACAATCGCTGCTCCTGACACTAAAGTGACCATGGAAAGCTGTGCGTTCGTTACACTATATGTACATATATAGATATGTACATATAGTGTATAGTGTTTTGTTTTCTAAATAGATCACAGTATCGGGCTATTGGCATTGTGCTCTCGCTCGATTTGTATTTTAACAGATTTATGGAGCTACATGAAGATACGCGTGTTATATTTACTAGTAGCATGAGTGTCTTTCTAAAAAGGAAAATAAGTAATATCTTGTTCAATCAACTGTCGAGGCAATGTAATAGTTTCGTACCAAACTGACTGGAAGCACGCTGCGTCTTTGAAGAAATTCCGCGGCCTGAGATTAACCAATTTTATTTAAAAAACAACCTATTTTCAAGTATCAATGGATTCTTTAGAAATTTTTATAGCTTTGTAATATAAAATTTGGTAGCTGCTACTTTAAATGAATATAATGAAGATATTGTTCAATGTACTAATCCAATTACGATCTACATAATGTGACATTTTTTCAAAAATTCTGCACGTGTATGTATTTTGAGAAAAGCAGATTTGTGCCATGACAATCGAAAGATCGTCTTTGCGAATCCCACAAATTAGAATTACAGTTATCCCATTGCAGACTTTGTCCAATTAAGTAGCGTATTTCCTGGCAAATATATCCACTGTAATAATTTGCGTACCGGGTTTAGTTGAAGATTAAATAACAGTTAAAATAATAGATCTGTAATACATAATGGGCGCCCTCACAAAGACCTTTACGTTTTGCGTCCGGCATCGCCGTTAGACACTCCATCAGACGGCTGGTATTCAGCACAGAGCAAAATGAGGGCCCGGATTCAAGCCCAGATTACAACGTGCCTCAGAGATTTGCATGCAAATACGTTTGCCAATAAGCTATCACGGGGACCGACCATTGGCTATGCAGTATTAGACTATCAGTGTGTTAATATATTTAACTACCTTCTCTACCTATCTAGTCTTGCCTGTAGACGTAGACTGGGTTTAATAGAAACACAAATGTCACAAACGTCACATTCTGTTTATATTTATGTATATATAAACACAAGTCTAATGTCCAAATTATGTGATTGGCAATATTTTTTTACAGACCTAAACATTTAACAGTGTTTCTCGGCTTCAGATTTGTTGTAACATTTCAAGTAATATTCTACAATTCGTACGTGAGCTTCAGCAATTATGACATAAGAAGTCGCCATTACAGGATAATTTACAAAAGTCATTATAACTGTTACGACATGATAATAAATACGGGAGCACTTTATAATAAAGAAAGCTAATAAATTATACGAGGAGATTATTAAAATAATCAGAGCTTTGGATTTACCCCGTTCTACACGCCTAAGCCCCGGGAATTTTTAGGAGCATCCGTGTCTATTTAGCTTTCTACTGTAAGTAGTGAATCTCACCTGACAACGCGTTTCAATATCAGCGTACATTCCCGCACTCTCCTGTACTTTACAGTCGAACGACGTTTCGGGCACTTGCGCATAGTTGGGGTAATCCACCCCGGGGGTACCAGGGAGATCCCCACTACCATCGTTTACGTTACGATTTGCCTTGCTAATTGACGCTTGTTCGCCCTGTTGCTGGGTTTTGCGAGCCGTATTTCCAAAATTGCCCAGAACAAACACCTGTTCATTCTGTGGAATCTTTGAAACTGTGGCGTTTCGGGTTCGCGCCGGAGATCTTAAGATTCGTAAAATTACGTAGCATTAGGATCTTGAGTGGCGTCTTGTGGGTTAAAAAGGAAATCTAATTTCTTTTAAAGAAGTTTCCTAGTAGGCATATGCATAAAATTGTCTATACGTACGTTTAGTATCATTGAAGTGTATGGATAATTGTTTAGTAGTGAAATGGATACATCGGGGACTGGAATTAAGTGTTGTCATTTGGTTTATTCAAGCATTTACATTTTACTAACTACATGAATGGAATAAGCGTTCGTATAATTGACGCACGACTAATGTATGCGATACAATGCTAACAACCTTATGAGAATTAAGAGTATACATATATATGTCGATGGTCATCGAAGTGAAATAACTAGACTTCATGATACATATACATATAATCGAAGACTCCTGCCATGCTTATCCCAATACCGCTGGGAGCTGCGGAGTATTCTAGTCATCTGCTATTGCTACATGCCTGGCGGTTTATCGATGGGAAAAGTGGATGAAAACGGAGAACCACCGACTCATAGGAAACAATGAGAACTTCGATGAACGCGAATCGATGTAGCAATGATTCATGAACATGGAAACAACAGACCATATTACAGTTCTCGCCACAGCTGTTTTCCTGTACATTTTATTTAAAGCAAACCGTATGTGAGAGTGCGATGCTTTGGAGCGATACGCAATTAACTTAGCATGATAATGAACTTGACAATAATCCGGCAACGCGGACGGTGGTAATAGAACGCTCAGGGGGTGATAGTTATATTTAATAGAAGTTACTTTTTCTTTCTTTATCGAACTTTCTCTCAATTAGAAACTCTGTAGCACTGCCATCTCAGTTGGTTGCTGGTAGATCTATGTACCGCAGATGAACTTTTATTTATGTGCGGGTATCGTACTGTCGCAAAGAAGCCGATAATACGGCTGAAGTCTTTTTTAGATTTCATCGTTGCCGAGAGGAGTATATATGATACAGGAAATTAAGTTGCAATAGAGCCGTAAGATGAAGGCTGATTTCGGGACTAAGCCGCCATCGAAATGGGTTTGCGAATGACTCAGCAAATAGATAGCACAACTGGATAATGCTGTTAGTTTCTTTTTCTTATAAGTAAGACGTCTCGCTGTAAAAGGTTTTGCCTGTTAGCACACAGAAGAAACTCAATATTGAGGCTTGCGCACAAAAATTGAAACGTTTAGACAATTTAGAAGTCATCATTATATTCACAAATGGTTCGTTAACTAGGCGGAACAGGTTGTTTTAGGCAAAAATAGAAGGTTTATGGTGAACCGATTGCATTTTAGCGATGGCTGCGGAAACAAATATTCTTAGAATGTTTTTTTGCAGCGTATTTTGCAGTAGACTTTTAGTCTTCACAGAAAATTGTTATTATCCCACTAAGATCTGGCTGCCGAAGGTTCTCACGTACGTCCGTTGCGATATCGCTGTTCGATCAGATACAACAAACTAGACTCGAACTGACGTCATAGTTAATTTTCGACGAATGCAGCTCAACTAAATTCAAGCAGACTACTCTTACATAGATTAGCTTGTTACTAAAAAGAAGGGATAAGAGCAGGGGTAAATTCTTGCTTGTACACACTTGCCACGCATGACAAACCTCAAAAGAGCATATCTAGCCTGACCTTCAACGGTATGAGGATGGATTTTGGTGGTTGTTGTTGTCCTTGAATTTTATGCTGATACGGCACAAATATTCGATTGTTTGTTGTCTGCTTCTTTACTTCGCTGTGAGCTTTCAGTGACTTTGGCCCCTTCGTCCCCTGTCCGTCATGCTAAGCCATACGTTTCTCTGGTCCTCCATTCAAGCCTATTAAATTTTTGTTCATTTGCGCTCATTAGTAAAATCAGGAGTCAATTAATCCTGTTGGCTTTATCGGGTATATAGAGGACCGATAACACCTGACTAGCATCTGGTGCTGGTAGTCTCTTTTTTAAGTACTTTCTTACTAACCGATGTTCTTCAGCTATGTCGAATGATTTGTACTGTTCGTCGAATGATTAGATGGATAGAGTAAACGTTTTTCGCGTCTGACGATCAAACGTGATTTTTCTTCCAAGTTCAGTAACGCGGCCACAGCCGTAGCTGGCGGTCGGACAAAAAGTCGAAAGTCCGTCTCTTTCCTTAGTTCGTTCCGAACAGTCGAAAATAGAGCGCGACAGGGAACTGACTCCTCTCTAATCAGGCCAATATATAAGTATTTCAATCGTGTCTAGGAAGCTTTCAGACACTGACAAGAAGAGCCAAGACAACGAGCGACAGCAAAGGGCCCTTCTGATCTCCTGCAGCAGGCACTATAACGACTGCTTTACGGCCATTATAGCAGCACCGTTGCTAGTGGCCAAATGGCAACGCATGAGAGACAATATAAACCAGAACAAAAAGAGCGGAAAGAAAAACAACGCCGAAAAAACAACAGATATTAGGGAGAGGAGCCATGTTTGCCAGAACATCGGTACCGGGTCGGATCGAAAAGAGGGGGGAACACAAGATGCAGCGAACTTTGCCACTAAAGGCAACCGCTAAGACAGAAATGACAATCAAATAGAATAAACGAAGAAAGATCCTGTTCGTGCCTACAACTTCTAGAGTTTCACCAGTTATATCGTCGATACGATTATAATTATTATGACCTTCTTGGGCGCTATATATAACACTGAAGGACACATCGAAAATAAGTCGGTAACACCCTTTCGTATTGTTCATTATACACGTCAGTAATTCAATATTGCGTATAGAATATTGCATTCTCGATTGGATTAATCCTGAGTAGCTTCTTCATCGAACTGTAAAGGGAGCATTAGCGACGGCAGTAGCAGAGCGTATAGCCACGGTCGTTTCTCTCTGTTTAGAGCATGCTCCGCTCAGCGAAAAGAAAGGGTGCACACGAGTCACAAGCTACTGTTACAGTGATAGATGACAGTGGAATTAAAAGTAAAGTCAGGACACTAATAGTCGCACGTGCCTTAAGTGGTACATAGATGAGTTCTTTTTTTTAAGAACACTCGTTGATCTCGAATGTCAACGTAGTGCCACCTTGAGCTTGAGATAGCAGTCAGACTACAGGGTTAATACCTTCGAATTAATGTAGAACGGAACTGGCATTCTATTTTCAAACCGCAGCGCGCTATTCCACGAACGGCAAGCAGCTACGTAAAGTAATGACTGGAAATATAAAAGGTGTCTGCGAATTTACTGATAATAAAAGCGGTTTATTCAATCTAGGTTATGTTAGTGCGAAGTTGAATTAACCAATTAACTTTTATATATCAATAAAATAAATAACATACACTTTACCTTTGTTCGATAACCTGAGTCTGATCATCTTCGGAGTAAATCGTGCCAGGCGAGAAATTAAATCCTTTTTTTGAGGGATCACGTCGGCCGATGGGACTTTGGGATTGGCTTTGAGGGGTTGAGGGCGATAGGGGCATTGTACTTGGAGCCTGCGTTAAGCTTGGCAGCGCGACAGGGAAGAATGGGTCACGTACTTCTGTGACCACTTGATCGAATTGAGGGCCCTCTTGTTCGCGTGCTTGGTCTCTCGGCGTTAGAGGTATATCTACCTGTACATCAACCATTTGCACATCTTTCTTCGCTGGAGTAGTTGTTTGGCTGTGTGTGCTAGTAGTATGATCGATTGTGAAGTGCAGGGTTTCCGATGGAACATGAGTTTTTGCTAGCGGCGACAGCTGTTGCTGCTGTTCAGGATGTCGTTCTATTTGTCGAACGCGCTGCTCAGGTTGGTCCTGACGTCGTTGACTAAGTGGGGACTGGAACCCGACATCTCGTTCGGTGAAAGGCTCAGTGGACTTAGATAACTGTTGCGTTATTTGGGTGTGGTCTATGTGAAACACTTGCTCGTTAGGTATCTCAGAATTGGGTTGTTTTTTGATGTCAGGCTGCTGGGATTTTGCTGAGTCTAAGGATGACTGCCCTGGTAACTGCCGTTGTTGTTCCTGCTGCTGTTGGACCCGAGTAAATTGTTGGCCTATCCGCTCGTCAAGGACCCGTTGTTGTTGCAAATTTTGCTGTTCGGTTTCGAAACGTTTTTTATCTTGTTCATACTTTCGACGCTGTTCCTCAAATCGTCGTTGATCCTCCTCGAATCTCCGGCGGCTTTCCTCAAATCTACGCCGGTCTTCTGCAAACTTCCTTTGCTGCTCCCGATAACGACGCTGATCTTCGCGGAAAATTCTTTGTTCCTCGCGGTATCGTCTTTCTTCTTCAAGGGCGTTACGATCAAACACCTGTACAACGGGTGCGGGAGCCTTAGGGCTAGGAAGGATTATCTCACGGTCAATTGGAGGCTGTGGTGAAAGCAATCGCATTTGAACGGGTTCAGGTACTTCATTTCGGTGGGAGTCTTCGGGGCGAGCCGGTAGTCTCACCCCATTGGTCGGTGGTTGTGCTGCTTGCTGCAAAACAGGTTCTTCTACCTCGGAACGAATAGGAACTATTTGCTTGAATGTTTGAGTGGTCACTCCACCGGTATGGTGAGTTCGTTCTATGGTGAAATCAATGGTTCGTGTCTTACCGGTGTCTGTTAACCCCTCTTGGAAATTTTGATTTTTCATAATAATTTGACTTTGTCGACGTGCAGGAGTCCTCTGAACTGAGACCTGTGACTGGGTCGGAGCAGTAGTCTGCAAGCTAGGAAATTCTGTAACCGATAGAGATGACGGGTCGAACTCCTTAGCAGAAAACTTCCGTTCGAGTTCTTCTTTCTGCTTTTTAAACAGTGTGTCAAAGTTTTCGTTGGGAATGTGGGTCGGTGAGCTAGGATTTTGTCTGAGGAACGATGGGTCTCGAACACCTTGAGAGAGTGTTGTTATTTTACCGGCGTGGAAGTCACCCTCGATACGGGACATTGTTTCATCAGGGTCGGGGGTTTTTCCGGCTCGAGTAGCATCGGCCCCCGTTACACCAGGAATAAACATAGAGTTCTGTTGCTGTCTTACTTCTCCAGTGTTGACATCCTGAAACAGGGCCGTAGTTCGACCGTTACGACCAGGTTGTGGGGTCTCCGGTCTGTTACTCGGAATCGCATTTCTTACTGCCGATCGCGCATGAACGTTCCCATCTGAGCGGCCAACGGGTTCTGTGATTTTTCGCTCACTTACAGAATTTGTGGGTCGAATTGCATTAATAAAATCAATCTCGGAGCTGCTTAGCTTCGTAGCGGCGTTTCTGCTCACGGGAGGGATAAAGAAAATGCCCTGTTGCTGTTTAGATACGCGTGAGCTAGGCCGTAAGTCGTTTAGTGGGTGCACCGCAGGAACGTCTTCTCGTTCAAGTTCCTTACGTGGTAGGCGCTGGTGCTGGTTCGAGATAATGACTGGTCTGTTGCCGACCAGAGCGATTTCGCCTGAAATGCCGTTAACATGAACCCGCTCGTTTATTGGCTGCTCTGTAGGCAAGCCCGGTTTAGCACTTGGTTTAGGTGTTTGGGCGTTATCGTTTGTGATTCGGCCTACATGGTCCGGTCTTGGAGTCGAAGTTTGAGAAGGATGTTGAACTGTTAACTTAAAATTAGCGCCATTGCCTGAAAAATGCGCAAATATAAAGATGTTAAGAAGCTGCTGATTGGTTGGGTTCGTGATGACTGGTTTTCGTTAGAGAATTGAAACTGCTTTGGCAGGAAATTCAACGATCAATTAGTGTTTCTTTTCCCTGTCAATGTGGACAAATTACTTTTGACGGTACCTTTAGTATCGAGAAAACTGAAACTACGGGTAGTTGCGCTTTGTTGGCTGGAGGCTTTGCTTTGCAGAAATTGTTGAGGTATACTCGGAGTAATAGGACTAAATGTCTGCTGGATCACTTCAAGTGGTTTTGCTGTGAAGGCCAAAGGATCCCCATCTGGAGCGAAGGGCCCAATGGGGGGAGGTGGCGGACGCGTTGTTACTTCCTTCTGTAATGTCATCAAACGTCATTTTAGAACATGTTATTATTTCTAAAACCATTGCGAAGTGCACAACGTCGATAGAATATGACAAACAGAACTTTTTGTGAAAATGACCGCGTATGAGTTCAATTTGCTTATATAACTTTAGTTCACGTTGGTTGACACTTAAACAATAGACAATTAACTTACAGTTGAGGCGCATTTCTACCATCGAGAAGTTCAAGTTTCAGTAAGTTTATTTAAAATAGATTTTTTTATGCATATCATCATGTTGAGCGTGATTGAAACAGTACCTACAGTGATGATCATTATTCGAAGACGACTTGAACACTAATTACGTTCAAAATACGGAATTATTGCCGGATATTCGTCACTCTGAGAATTTTTGTTCCAGGAAGTAACTGATGATGTTGAAAATAGCTTAGAGAACTACAAGTATACGTACCGCAGGCAAATTGTAAACGTTATGACCGATTAGAATCATTTTTTGCTTCTACATTACTAAGTGTAATAATTATTTACACTTGTACTAAACGTTTAGTAATTTCTTGATTTCAGAATATAGACCTTTTTGTGCACTTGGAATTTCCTCTAGGAATAGACTTGAATTTCGTAAACATCGCATAATCTATACGACTGATGTAGAGCTCGTTCAAATAAAATAAATCAATAGCACAAAAGTTTGTCCCTTTCTACCTGTCTCTTTCTATCTAAAAAAAATAGCTGAAAATGATAGATAAAATTTTCCGGTTTTGAGCCATTTAGACTGTTAAAAATTGTTAGTGAAAGAACTGCAAAAAGACAACTTCCAGTCTGCCCGAGATTTGCTTTCGTCTAACGTCGGAGATCAATTAATATATCTTTGACCTTTGACAGCGACAAAGAATAGAAAGAAAAGCCTAAATATATTATCGGTCTATTACGGCCAACGACAACGTCAAAGGATGGTGTACGACTGTAAGGCGCCTTTGTACTATGCATCATTCTCGACGGCGGCGTATTCTCTGTTACGGCGATTCGACGAGCGCTAAAGACGCGCGGTAGTCATTTGTGTACTGGCCTTTGCTGTTGCTCACAGAAAAGTAACAGCTTTCTCGTCATCTTTTCCCTGGGACCCATTAAGCGAGCTGTAATTGGTAATGTTGTTGATACGTAGCTTTCTGATCGTTTTTTTCTGTTGGCATCCGCTGATAGTGGCCATGGGATGATCCATCACTTGGATGGCTACAGAACATTAATGGAGTCAATCTAGTTTGTCAAGAATTAGCAAACACGCACACACACAACTTACATGGCCTACGATGGTAAACAGTGACAGAGAAGGGGAGCAGTACGTCCATGATTGAAGCTAGCTCAAAGAAACGACGCTGATATCAAGCATACGAAAAATTAGCTAATTTCTACATGATTGCACAGTTTCAAACATGAGAAAATGGTCATCAGTTATCCGAATACATCTTAAAATACGTAAGTTAATTACACATTTTCAATGACACCTGGCCAATAGGTAACGAAAGCATGACACATCTGAATATGTAGAGCTTTATCGAATAAAGATTAAATCCACGGAAAAAAAGCATTTTGTTGAGAATAATAAAAAAAATCAATAAAGTGGAATTTCAGCTTTGAGTATCGCTAACAGAAGAATATTTACAAGGACCTACCCTTCGTTGAGTAGACTAATCTATTTAGACCAACGATGTCTCAAGCGATGTTCATTCATATCGAGTCCTATTTTTAACAGTCGACTTCCACAAGAAACCTCGTGGTCTATATGGTACTGGACGTACTCCAATATGTATACCAGAAAATAGCTCTACAGGCTCACATATAAAGTGGTAAGCTTTTTCAACATAAGGCCTTTCGGTAGTAAATGTAATAGATCGCGGGGGATGGAGGGTGCCGAGGAAAGGTCGGAATAAAATATAACGGACAATCCTAATGTCGGCCATTCGGTGTCGTGCTTTTCAAAAGATCCTTGTCCAAAGCTCTAGCGTTGCCAACATTTGCTAGACTATGAAATACATCCAAATACTGCAACATGCGTATAGCTGAATCATTCCTAAAGGAACTTACTCAATGTTTTAGTACAGGACGTGACAAACATTGATGTCATCTGGCGCTATCTATATGGGTACAATATCTCGTGTTTTTTTTTTCTGTATTGTTCTAAACCAACTGGGTCAAAGGCTATTCAAATCTGAACATGATGTCACGACTTCACAGGCCCTCGTACAGTTGTCGAACAAATAGGTTGCCACCCAAATGGCAGAAAGTTATGAGTAATAAAGGTCCATGCTCTAATCGAATATAAAAGAACTACAACTGTGGAAAAGTTAAAATACACTATGTCAGGTTTCATACTGAATGAACAAATACAAAAATTGAATACTTTCAGCGCAATAGTTTAGGCGATTAAGTATTTGCTCGAAAAAAAAAATTCGGCTCAGTGATTTAAGCTCAATCGTTAACGATTGCGAGAGCGAAAGTAGGCGTAGATTTCGAAATAGTTTGCTGTACATTTAGGGGTTGTATTTTACTGTGTATAACAGTATATTTCAGTGCTGTATATATAACCTGCATTTGCAGAGGAAACTTACAGGTTTATGTCTTTACTGCGACTCTAGCACAAAGTTACATACATTGAATGTAAAAACTTCAAGTATATTTATTATTTTCACCACAGACATATGTTGATCTAGCATTTGCAACGATGCAGTCTTCTTTCCTATATTTGAGAGAATTTCTATTAACGGATTCTGCCTGTTCGTATTTTAGAGTCTACGTAATCTTTTAAACATACACTATTTTGTCCATAGCACGTGTGAGCAGGGCAAGGTTTATGCAGTTCTCACCGTTTTGGGTTTTAGTGCCTTTTTCTGTTTTAAATATGTGGAAAGTTGTAATTTATATATCAAGATTATAGGCCTATGTTTAATACACCTCTGTCTTGTGACAAATTCAGTTCTTCTGTTTATTTAATATATTAATTGAAACTACTGGCCCTCGAGTCACTGAATCGGTAAAACTTGAAGTTCGCACGTTGATAGTTACCATGCTTTATTAGCACTGATATGTGGGTAATAAACCGCTATAACGCACACCTAAAATAATACAAAGATGATTTTTTTTTGCTTATTTCTGCCCCGCTTTCTATAAATAGAGTAGTTTTCCCGAAAAAAGAAACATGGTTTATGGTTCAAATTATGGCTAAATTAGAATTCTCGTTTATCTAGTTTCGTGCTTGTCTGAAGATGCAGAGAGGGTATGCGTCAATGGACGTGTGTGTGTGTGTGTGTGTGTGAGTCCATGAATATTTAGCAATCCGTCCATTGTACAGTGTCCTACAGCAAACAGTATAGGAATTAGTACATATCTTATACCGCTTATCGCCAAGTATGTGGTCTACAAGATGGCCATCGCGTCGTCCTCCGTACGTCGAAAGTAGTATATTCTTGTAGTGTAGGCGGCGAACGTGAATTGTTTCGACCAGGGCCGATGAGTTAGCCAATAAAATAAGTATCCAATTTAATACCCTACGAATAAATTTGGAAAAATTCTTGTGATAACAACGATATTCTCGCAAGAACGCTGGCCTACTAAAACCGACCATTTTTAAGTAACGTACTATTTCATCAGCAATGTTCAGGCGATTACAAATAGGGCATCTTAACTCTATTGCAGTGTTGTCTAACAAAAAAAAAGTTGCTATTTTAATGAGTTCGCGCTTTGAACGGAAATGATTAGATGTACCAACTTCATATCAGTCCGCTTAGAGATTTGTTTCTAAACAAAGCTCTTCACCCAACCGATCGATAAGATGTCCTTGGCCGAATTTTATTAACGCTGTGACAGTGTCATTAGCCTGGGTAGTCTGAGAGCGGCATTCTTCTTCTACGGTTGTTTTGTGGCCATTTCTAAAGAAAAATTTCTTCAAATCATTTACAACCTAGTATATGTATGATTTCATAAGACCATAACTGAAACATGTTCCATCGTAATATGGATGACTCAACTTTTTCAATAAATCTAATCGCTTCAATATCTTCCCACGAACTGCCTGGGGGCACACAAAACGCATCTTGTTTTTTGTGAATGTTTTACATGGGAATGCAACACGTTTGCGGACCCACGATGTACGCAGAGATTGTAGCATGGGTTAACAAATCTCCGACTTGAAACAAACGAAGGGACAGTCATGTTAGCGCTAGACGTTGTAGGTAATAGTGACTATTGTACAGAACAAGTCTCACATCGATGCTCATCCATGATCGTTCATCATTGGTCGTATCATTAAGCACAGTCGTGATCAGGGTTATGACTATTCCAATTAAATGACACAACAAAGAAATTGCCGTGCAAATGTTCTTGTCATGAACAGAAAGGAGATGTATATTACACGTAATGGTGCACAACATGAATGCTGAAATAGTTACATGTATTTCTATGTAAATGGGACCATAGCGGAACAAAACAATAAAAAAGTTGAAGGTCAGTTGCTACTATGTGCTACTTAGTACGGTAAGCTTGACAGATGTATTATCTCAGGACGATCTTTTGAAATGATTTACAATTGCTATTACAAATTGCTGTTATTTGGAGAGCCTGAATAAACAACAACGACCAAGGAAATATTTTGCGATTTTTGTATATTGAATATATGATACATTTTTTTAAACTGTGTTTAATAAAGCTGGAGTCCCTCCAGCTTAAGACAACAAGGACGCTAATATGATTTCATACGTTATTTAAGGCACTGTCTCCTTTTCAGTTGCCTATTGTTAATGTGTTCAAGGAAAACAATCCATTGAAAACCTGCAACGTTGCTCGTGATTAAGAAGATTGGCAACTGAAGAAATGGGGATCTGAAATCGATACATATGCGGCGTCTCCTAGTCACAAGAGTAGACCGCTTTCCAATCGATGTAATACGCGATTGGTTACATAGCTCGAAATGAGCGCTCAATATGTGGGTGAATACGAAAGGATTCGTTTAATAACGCGAC